CGGAATGATTAAACTACATAAATTAATCAAGTGCCTGGGCCCATACCCTATTGGAATTATGGGAATGGACCAGGATAAACTCAATAAGACACACAGAGCTGAGTAAAACGTTTCAATTTATTCAGAGGTCTTCACGACTCTCCCCTCTGCGAGAGACTAACTCTGAAGAGAGAAACTGTAGTGCTTCTTGCCCTCTAGCCTCCATAGTTTCCTTTGTCATCATGTGCAGGACAAGAGTCCTTTGTTCTCAATTTTGGGTACGTGTGACACACAGACCCAACATACACATAAACATCTCAGGAAAAGAAAATACTTAGAAATGGAAATGCTGTGGAGTTTACGACGCAGTAGAGGAATAAACGTTTGAGTGATTTTGTCTACTCCAATAACTGAAGGCGAAATATGTTACATTCACGTGAAACAAAGGGTGTTCTAAAAAAAGATTAGGCAACCCCTCTGGGTTACGCGATCAAAAACAGTGGAATACGAGGAGAAGCGCAACTGCGGAGGGGCGGAGGGTGTGACCTCCCCGGTCCCGGATACTAATCTACGTTAATGATGAATACGAAATTCTGAAAGCAACAAAAATAGCTCTATTGAGGAAGGTAACAATAACTTGGGGGGGTTTATGAGGGCCCTCTACAGAAATGATTATATAATATGTATAAGGAGAATGAATCCTTGGGCAGATACTGTATTTGTGGCAGTTTCCTCGACGGCCTCCATCATTGATCTATTACTCAACAATTAATTAAATAGAAATTAATGAATTAATTAATTAATTGAATTTTTGTACCTAGGTAGTTGCTAGTTTTGTACTAGTTTTGTAACGTACGTCATGATGGGCGTGCTGTGGTTATAAATAGCTTGAAATGAGTGTTTGAACCTCAAACACTACTACACGGGAATATAACACACATCTGAAACTTTTGTCTGGAATTGGTGGGTCGACCCCACAGTGTTTGAAGATTAAAATGCAGAAAAATAGTATTCATAGATAAAAGTTAAAACAAATGATCGAATTAATTAAAACAAATCTGCATGTTCTCCGGTGTCGCTATATACGATTCCCCATTCTGTCATGACTCTCATGTCGAGATTATGGATTTTGAATGATACGAGAGATTTTTCGTAGGCTCTATATCATAAAGCGAGAACCATTCAACGATATCTAATAAATAATGAAAGCGTAGATACTGCAATATTGCTGCATATCAAACATTATTACATCCTTTCCATGAGCATATTCAAACCAAATGATTGATTTTTACAGTCTTATTGACTTCGTGTGTGATGTATCGAGTTAAGTATTGAAGCAGCCTTTCAAGAATTGCGGACGATAAAACATCAGTACAGCAACGATAAACCTCGGTAGTTACGTAGACATACGTATAGTCTCGGGCGGACCTGTTACGGAGTGGTACCACTTGTGGAGGGCACCGTCCGCCAGTCGATCTATAAGCCGACAATTCTTGAACTGTAGTTGAAGGCTCCAGGAATTTTTCTCCACCCCCACGACTTTTACTCTTCCTCAACAACTTTGGAGTCGATGTAACAATGTTTTTTATTCATTGTCAGAGGTTCTCTTCACATTCAGAGGTATTTCAATTTCAGACACCAAGATGTCTGAAATTAAGATACAGACATCAGTTTCAGACACAAGCGGTGTTTGAAATTTTCAGACATCAGTTACATTTTCAGACACTTTTAAAGATTCAGGCGTTTTTTGCCATCTGCCATCTTAAATTCAGATGATTGTCAGACAGCTAGTTTTTGCAGTGGATAAGTCAACTTTTCAGACATCAGAAATGTCTTAAAAATTAATGTTTGAATGAACTTTGCCGTCTGAATCAGGAGAGATATCTTAATAGTGAAATGTTTGAATCGCTCATAAATAACTGAATTTCAGACACAGAAAATATCTGAAAATAAATACCTTAAATTTTTCAGACATAAAAAATGTCTACCATCATTTTCAGACATTAGTCAGATTTTCAGACACTTTTGAAAATTCAGACGTTTTTTACCATGTGACATATTACACCTGGTTTTTGTAGTGTATATATGCATAACGTATTATAATATAGTATTATCGTAATATCTTTAATGTATGTTATCCTCATTTATAAAAAACCTGATGACACAATATGCTGAATAGATTGGCTTCAAAAAAGTTACACTGGATTTTTAATTAAAGGATTTAAGGTGAAAAAGTACTGGAAATTGAGGTTGCTCCACGATTATTCGACTTGTTCGGTAATTTTTCTCTTTTTCTTTTTCTCCATGCCCGATCAGAGACAGAAGTACTATTTCGCTGACTGTATCCATTTGTCCTCGTGTGCGACGTCGATCGATGCTATCGCGACAAGAGTTGGTAACCACCGGAATATATTGTTTTGGTCTTATTAACATTGGGCTGGAACTTTTAGATTGAGTATATTCAAGAGCTGAACGATCAAGAGGGGGCCACGGAGAAATCCTCGAAAGCCGAAGAACAGTAGTTATTGTCGCATTACTGTACTAGGTGCATGAACAAGTGGATCGCGAGAACAGAATCAACAATTCTACTGCGAACTTTTGATTGAGGAAAGCTCCAAGTGTTGGGATGACCACAGAGGCTGAAGATGAGGCGCGAGTAAGATTTTTTTTTCTGAAATCATAAATTTTTTGTTAATTCGTTGGAAACAATTGTGAGGTGGAGTGGTGACAAATCGATGCGTCGAATTGCGTCGGAGGTTTTGTATATCACACGTAGAAACGCTGGGGAATTGCGGAAAGATGATCGTATCGATCAACTGCCACACGAGACAGCGATCCAATTAATCAAAGTGTAGCGTGTGTGCTGATCGTGATTTGCATGTTCGCTTCGACTATAGGTCTAGTATTACTCATACGACGTGCGATGATCCACTATTTTTCCTAGTTCATGTGTTTGGTCTGCGTACGTTCTAATATTTCATTTCATTCACTGGTGGGAAATTAGTCTTGAAATTCTAAATACGTAATTTTGAAATTTTTAGAAAACATTAATTTACAAAGAACAGGTCAAATCAGTTAAATTCTGCAATATGCAATGGTATTACAATTTTGAAATTCATGCGAAGAGTGAAATTATTGAAAATAGCGGAAATTTGGGCGATTAATGTTTTGAATTTTCAATCCATTAAGAATTCAGTGGAGTTTGATGTTCAATTTTCACAATGAGTTTTTGAATAAAAAACTGACATTATAATCTCGATGATTTCCTAACATTAAAGACTTTTTTGTGGAATTTTCGAGATAAATAGGAGATTTCATGAATGATTTGGTCTTCAATTGAATTTAGTAGCACAGTGGTAAAACGGTTTAGCTCGACTTATCTCCTAGTTGAATTTTTGAGGAATATTTCCGAATCTAAGGGAGATAGCGAAATTTTCGTAATTACATTCGTTGTAACTCTCAATCGACTCTGCAAAAAAGGTTATTACAAAAATTTTGCTATCTCCCTTAAATCCTAAGATATTCATTGAAAACTGCCCAATAGTCAAAATTAACTTGTACCGTTTTACCACTTCGCTACTGAATTCAAATTCATAAATGAAAAATTAAAATACCATTTCTTGAATTTCAAAAGATCAATGACTGTGTGTAAAAATTTACGTTTTCCTGTCAAACACGAGATATTGTATAAGAAAATGCAATGAATTCCAATCATTTTCGTGGCGAAAATATATTTAAGCTTGATTGAAAATTCAAATGGATTAATTGTACTGACGCAGTGAAATTTTTATTATTAATTGCGAAAATTTCGTCATAAATGTTCTAAATTCAAATGTTGACACTGAACAGGCGCTCGCTCATGAAAAAATTTCGCAGAAAAACGAAGTGGAATCGATAGAAAATTCTATTGGATTTCCATTCGAATTTTATTGAAAAAATCCGCCGATTCACTGTGTTTTTTTAAATTAAAAAAAACAATAGAAATTATGTTATAAACAAAATCAGTAACATTTTCAACAGGAAATTGTCGATATACATTTCCAAGCTTTTTTCGTTCTTCTTTCATCTATTTTCATTAAAAGAATCAAACAACAAATTTTCAAAATTGATCCTTGAAATTTCTATAGAATATCTCAGAATAAATCCTATAGAAAAATAGAATTTTATTTATCGTTTCTATAGAATATTTTCCATTGCCCAATCCTATTGAAAAATTAATATATTAGTGTTTTTTTCAGTAGAATCGGCCATGATAATAGAAACTTTCATAGAATTCTAATCAAATTTCCTAGCGGATTTAGCGTTTTTGTAGTAGAAAATGTTCAATAGAAACTATTTCATTTTAAAAAAACATAGAATTTCATCTTTCTATAAAACTTTATCCATTGAGACATTTTCAACAGAAATCCCTCGAAATTCATTTTCCAAGTCTTTTTCTACCCTTCTTTCATCTCTTTTCATTAAAAAAATTAAACGAAAAAAAAAATTGAAAAATTGAGGGTAAAAATGTATAGAAAATATTTCAATAGAATAAGGCATTTTATTCATTTTTTCTATAGAATATTTTTCATTGAACTTTCTTATTGAAAAAAAAGCGCAGATAAAGTCCGGAATTTTTCAGTAGAATCGGCCAAAAAAATAGAAAGTTCAATAAAAATTCAATAGAAATTTCTAGCGAATTCGCTAGATTTTTCTATGAAATTTTGTTCGTACGTGTCGACACTGAACAGGCACTCGTCTTCAATACGTGAAGCACTAAGTATTTGCAAAGGATTATTCATGCGATTTGAAAACACTGTGGAAACACCAGTCACTCTCCAAACGAAAAACTATCGACTGGAGAAGCTCTCTGAAAAATCAAATAGAATAAAGCGTGAAACTTGGTACCAGACACAGAGGGTTTCCTTGCCAACTCACCCTCTGACAACGGTGGTGTCACGCTTATCGCCTTCACACGAAAACCTCGCGCCTCTGTGTGCCAGTTAGATTTTCAAACCCCGGTAGCACGCAAATACGCGAGTATGTTCGTACAGGGCCTCCGGGCTGGTGAAAGATCCGATGGTTCTGATGAAGCCAGCGAGGACGATGATGAGCTCAGTGATGATGCCGTTCAGGTTGCAATGCAATTATCGTAACGACATTCATTACATTTCCATATTAATCGTAAATAGAATAGCTTCAATAGAAAACCCGAGCACTTTGTAGAAAAATTGTTATTGGAGCTATACAAAATTCCTTCAAAATCTTATTTATTTAGTTAAGGCCCGGGTGGATTATCTTTCGAACGTTATCTCGATTGTTTTTCCATCCTCATAATGTAAAATATATCACAATTTTCATTGAATTTTACAACACGCAGGAGTCCCTAAAAATTATGATTGTGCAATCAAAGGAAGTAGAAAAAAATGAAGATTTTCAAAGAGCGTTTTTAATAAATATTAAGAAATAAGTCCGATAGAGAGGAAATAGTGAATGGATAAGTTATAATGGTAACTTACGATCTGACAGCCATTAACTACTGTGTCAAATGATGACCTAACAGCCATTAGATACATCAAATTATTAATCTGCAATTTCCTCCCTATTGGATTTATTTCCCAATATTATTTAAAAACGCTCTTTGACAATGTTCAGCTTTTTTTCAAGGTTTTTTTGATTGTACAATTATAATTTTTGGAGACTCCCGGACTATGTAAAACTGAATAGCAATTGAAGATCGTTTCAGATTGTCAAAATAAAAAAAACAACCAAGATCACGTTCGAAAGATAATCCACCCGGGGCTTAATTAATTTATTTATTTAGTGGAGATAGTTCCAACAGCATAATGCCAATTACAGGATCAAATTAAATACATACATTGTGCATACTAGATTTAGATGTTTTGAATAACATATGAGGTATTGTCAAATGAGTCAACGGCTGACACTCACCCTCTTGGAAATTGATCTCGATTTTTTCTACGACAGGGAGACTAGAAAACCTATCTCTTTATTTTTTTCAGATTTTTTAAACAGACCATTTCGGAAATATGATTTTTTTCTTTGTTTTTTCGTTTTTTTTCAATAACTTCAGTTTTATTCATCCGGTTTTGATTTATGACACGTCGAAATTTTCGATTTTCTACTACCTATAAAAATATTTTGAGTGATTTTTTTTTTCAACCGATAGAGTCACATGATACCGAATTTTCAAAAAAAAAAGTTGTAAAACTTGAATTTTCAAAATTATGTCACGTTTTATTTATCTCGTCTTTTTGGTAGTAACTCTTGTAATCAAAACAAGGATTTTGAGCCGTCATAGAAACTAGGTTTCGTCCTAGATCCATTTTATTTTCGATTTTTTCTTCTCAAAATTCACGAATTTGGTCAAAATACCCCAAAATGGCGTTGATTGAATTTGATTGTAAACAGTGTGAAGTGCATTTAAATGTATATTTGTACGTTACATATTTTTTTGATCCATAATCAAAGTCGTTTTGGAGTGTTTTGACCCAATTCGCGGAATTTCGAGAAGAAAAAATTAAAAATAAAATAGATCCAGGAGGAAACGCAACTTGTATGACGGCTCAAAATATTTGTTTTGGTTATAAGAATTACTGAAAAAAAGATGAGGAAAATAAAAAGTGACATAATTTTAAAAATTCAAGTTTTTCAATTTTTTTTTTAAACGGTAGATGGTGGCATAACTGAGGTGTAACACGATAAGTAATAAGTTACGATCTTGTGGTTCTTGTAAATTTCAGTAAAAATTCATAATTCTTAGTAAGATTCATGTGAATCTTAGTAAAAAAAATGGATTCATGCTTCGCACCGACTTCTATTCAGTAGCCAAGCGGTAAACCGGGTTAAGTCGACTTTGACTTTTGCCCAGTTTTTGATGAATATCTCGGAATCTAAGAGAGATAGCAAAAATTTTCTCATGAACTTTTTTGTAGAGCCAATTGAGTGTTATAAAAAAGGTCATAACAAAAATTTCTCTGTCTCTTTTAGATTCCGAGATATTCGTCAAAAACTGGTTCTAATATAAAAATCAATATTTATCAACTTTTTCATATCAAAGACCTTTTCAATTTGAACTATAAATTTTGTAATTATGATTTTGTGTTTGTGCAGAAGACGGGAGCGAATACAATGACACGTGTAAGAACACTTAATAAAACTCCTCTGAAAATGTGGCTCGTAGACTTCCTCCATGAAGTCATCAACGATTTTTACATGAAAAAATTCCTCAGCGAATATATATATCTTTACAGAGATTTATATAGAATGTTTTCATACGTGTGAAACTAACATCTATTCTCTTTCCAAAATAATACTGCATTTTCCCTCGGATAGAAACGCCGCGAAGAATGCGAGAGAAAAGCCCGTCGAGGGGAGATGGATCCCCGATTGGAGTTCGCCTTTCAGCTCTTGATGGATGGCACAGGTTTGCCACGTCACGAGGTAATGGACCATGTATTCGAAGGGGATATGCTGGACGAGATAAATCAGCTGTTTCTCCCACACATGAGATCAACCCTTGTATGGTACTACCAGGTGACTGACGAGCCTGAACAGCAGCGGCCGAATGACACGGTAATTCCGTTAATTCATTTCAGGATGAGCTACTCCACCCGTTGACTGGCTACATAATTAGAGCTGCGGGACACCCTTGATTTTCAGACATGACTGACCACTCGCAGTCTAATGTGTAATTCTTGTTTTAAACAATAAAATCAGAAGCGAAGTGGTAAAACAGTTCAAGTCAACTCATCTCCGAGTTGAGTTTTTGAGGAATATTTCGGAATCCAAGGGAGGTAGGGAAATTTTTGTAATTACATTTGTTGCAGCTCTCAATCGGCTCTGCAAAAAAGGTTATAACAAAAATTTTGCTATCTTCCTTAGATTCCGAGATATTCATTGAAAACTGGTCAATATTCAAAATTGACTTGTACCATTTTACCACTTCGCTACTGAAATATGATAACTGAACGTCAAGTAAGGGAAAGTGGGGCAAAATGAAACAGATATGTATAATTGATAAAAGACAAAAATTGTTCCTTATCAAATTCTAAATAATTCGTGATCCGAAAATTTTCGTAGATCTTTCATAGTTTGGGTGCTAGGCCGATTTGAACAATTAAATTGTTGATGATAAATAGCTGCAATGCCTCAAATTGATTGGAAATTGTATACTTGACGTTACGTGATCATATTCCATCAAAAAAAGCATTACGCATTAGAAGGCGAGTGGTCCGTCGGTCAATTTAGAAGCACTTTTTTTTCTTTTTTTTTCGGTGGCTTGGCACAGTGGGTAAGTTCGTTGCCTCACATGCGAAAGGTTTCGAGTTCAAATCCCGGCCGGGTAGAATGGTGCGATCTAACCATTTAAAGTCTTGATCATCATCGCAGTATACCCTAACCGGGTCGAAGCGATATAAAATAACGATAAAAAAAAAGAAGCACTTTTTTGGGGGTGTCCCGCAGCTCTAAATGTGTTTCTCTCGTTCTCGTTCATTAGGGGCAGACAATAAAGGGCAGTACAAGAGCAACTCCCGGTAATCCAGCGCCGAATAAATCCAAGGAAGTGAAGGAGGCGAAGGAACCTATCAAGAAGAAGCTTTTTTTGACTGATGGGTGGCAGGTTCCATGTACGGGAGTTTGCATCTACATGTTTCGGTATTTTATCATCAATGCACTAACGAAAAAATCGCATAGAAAAACTTAGTGAATTCAATGAAACCGTTCATCTCCATGGCATTAATAATTATCAATAAAATTCAAGGGATGTTAGAGAAATAATTACAACGTTGATCAAATTATGATAAGTGTGACGTTTCGCTAATCATTTTAGCTTTCACTAGTTGCTCATCGAAAGAGCTGTAGGGGAACCATTAGAAAATGCCTGAATATAAAAAGTTCTATAGAAAGATAAAGATGTATGCAAAACTCTACAATTTTTCAATCGAATAATCCAGGAACTAACAGAATTTCCAATAAAAGTTCAATCGAAATCCAATACTTCTATGTTCTATCGAATTGGCTAGGTTTTTCACTGAAATTTTTTCATCCGTGTGATTCTCGAGCAATCAGCTGCATGTTGTTTTGACTAACAGAATAAACACATCCAAACAACTACCGGAAGAGGGCTTTCAAAAGGATTTATTCACTGGTGTCATCAACATACACAAGGTAGGCATTATAACAACCATTCAGCGAGTGGTGGAGCACGTGTTCATGGATGCCCTAGCCCACCCGGGGGGTGAAGAGGAGGAAGACTGCCCGATGATAAAGAGTCTCCTACTACCAGGACTTAGATCATTCTGTAGTGCACTGAAGGTATGTGAGCTTGTGCTTGAGGAGGGAAATATATTCGACGACGGCGAGGCAATGATGGAGGAGGTCCACAATTTCGAGACAGCTAAAGCCCTCGTCTCTAACAAAGGAGTCGAAAGGGTCGAGGAACGCGTGAGAATATGGATTAAAAAGTTGAAAGATTTCATTCTAGAAAGCAAACAGGTGAGACGAGAGAACGATAACTCAGGCCCACAACAGGAATTGGAATATTGGAAACGCAGAGGAGCACAATTTAGTCAATTAGTCAATAAACTTCAGGACACTGAAGTCAAAATGTCTCTTCTGTGCCTCCAAGTTTCAAGGTCTAAGTTAATCAAAGAGTGGGTCGATGCTGAGGATGAAGTGACGTATTGTTACAATGAAGCTAAGGACAACGCCAAGTTCATTCAGGCCCTCGAGAAATGCTGTCATTGTTTGTATCTTGACGATCCAGTTAAGATGAGAGACTCGTTGGTATCCCTCCTGCAAACTGTTAGGCTCATCTACAGCGTCTCGAGGTACTACAATACTTCGGAAAGAACGTCATCGTTGATGGTGAAGATCACGAATCAGATGATCGTGGCATGCAGGGACTACGTCACTACTAGAGGAAGGGAGACAATTTGGGAATTGGAGAGGGTGACAGCTAGATCGAGGCTGAAACACTGCTTGAGGCTGAATAAGGCGTACAGAGAGACTTACAGACTTGTTCGCTGTTCACCAGCGATCACCGAACAGGAGTTTTCGTTCTCAGAGACGCAGGTGTTCGGTCGATTCGACTCGTTCTGTTCACGAATCCGAAAGATATTGACGATGTTCGATCTAATTGACGATTATCAGAAGCTATTTGAGAGAAGGATGGAGGGTCTACTGCTAGGGGAAGCCTTGGAAGAGGCAACGCATGCCTTTGAGGAAGCAAAGAAGATCGCTACAGGCAAATCTTATGATTACCTAGACCCAAGGAACACCGACTTCGACAGAGATTACGACGTCTTCATGGCTAAAACCGATGCTTTGAAAGCCCACGTGGGCGATATTATCGAGAAAAACTACACCGATGTCTGGGAGACACCCCAGGGCATTCGATTTCTCACGAGGTTCGAGAAAGTCAGTAAGAAGATTCCTCTCACAAAGTTGGATGAGAAATACTCCCTCGTTGTGAGGTACTGTGACAAGGAAGTTGAGAGGACTTTGAAGCTGTTCAAAAAGCAACGGGACGATCCACCACTCTCCCGACACTTGCCACCAATCGCCGGACGTCTCACTTGGGCGAATTCCTTGAAAGTTCACTTGGACGAATTGGCGAATTCCGTGTCTAGTCATCCTGTTTTGAGGACACTTCCCCTCACCGCGGACCTTGTGAGACGATACAATCATGCTGTTACCATACTTCTTCAATATCAAACGGATATTGCTGAAGTATGGACTCATCAGAATTCCTGGGTGATTGAAGACTGTCTCAAGAAGACTTTGCTTGCTATCGACAAGGAGATGAACAAGATCAAGGTCAACCTCGAGGGGAGAATTATTCTGCTGCTCCGTGAGGCTGATTGTTTGGCCAAGCTGAAGCTAGAGATACCGATAGTTGCGAAAACAATTTTGGTCAAACGTGACCACTTCACTTTGAAACATGATTCCCTGCAATTGGTCATCGAGGAATTCGTCTCCACTGCGCGAAGGGTCAAACTGGAGGTGAGACCCTTGCTGCTACCTCATCTGGTGCGTGTTGCATCGCTCTTGATGCCTGGGTTGAAGACATTAACATGGACAAAGCCAGGATGGCAGGACTTCTGCCAGCAATGTAAACAAGAGATCGGAATATTCGATGTGTTGATAACCAGAGTTCATGATGTGTACGCAAATAGGATTCTTCAGGTGCTTGTGAGCATGCAGAAGATCACCCTGCACGCATTACCGGAGGACGAGCCCTGGTGTATCGAAGAGTTTCTGGAGAAGACTGAAGAAGCCTGTAGAATAGCAGCGATTGATCTTCATCGGAGAAGCCAAATGGTGGAAGAAGCTGTTGAGGAAGTCCTCCAATTAGTGAAAAATGCAGCAGATAGCTTTAAAAATACCGGTGAACCGGACAACTTCGAGTTAGCTAATGGTGATGGAGCACCCAGTCAAGACGGTAATGAAGATGGATCTCAACAGCAGCAGGATTGGACTGTTGTGTGGGCATGTTTTGATGATCCACACCAGTTACTCACTGCTACTGGGGGTGGTCTTTCTAAGAATATGCAGGAAATGGTGAAGAACGCTGTCTCCGAAATGAGGAGATATTACTCGAGAAAAGTTGTTGATGTGTTGATTAAAGTAACAAGAAGCTCGTTGGATGCTATAAGACGTAGATTCGTACATGAGATTAATCCAGAGACGGCACCACGTCCTGTATTCCTTCTGCATGCAACCCTGATGATTCCGTCGGTGGTGGTGAAGCCGAGTCTCGAGGAGGTGCAGGAGACTCTCACTGTCGCTGGTAAAGCTATTGCTGGGGTTTCCAAGGGTGTTGCACAGTGGAGTGCTGGGGGTCATAAGAGTTCGTGGCGCGGGGCACCTTGGGCACCCAAGAAAAATCTTATGGACGTGGTGATGAGAGCTCAGGTGCATGCGGAAAGAAGACGCGACGAGGAGCCCGAGGATCCAAAAATCCGAAGGAGACGATTATTCAAAATTGTCTCTGAAGAACGTCCGAGCTTTCCCATTCAACAACGTAATTTCCACAGTCTTGTCATGGAGAATAAGGAAGTCATCAAAGTGTTATCAATGTTGAGCTCGTGTACACAAGAGTTGCGACAGGATTTGACGGAATTCTTGGATCAGTGGACACCGTACAAGTATCTGTGGAAGAATGAACGAAGTATGCGGGAACTTCTCAATGTATCGTTATCGGAGTTTGAAATTACTTTGAGGAAACACAGCGAACTTGAAGATAAGTTGGCTACTGAATTGGATATGACGTATTTGGGGTCGGCAATTGCATTGCACACGGAGAAACTTAAGTTTGGTTTATCTACGGAAATTAAAAGTAATTATACTGTATCATCTCGTAGTTTTTTTTTCTCTTTTTATGTGTACGTGTGTGGCGTCGTCGTGTAGCTAAACGGACGCAAGTGCCAACAACTCTCCTTCTTGAAAGCCACAAGGGCATATATTCCGTTTCAATGTTATTTCAATTTTTCGTCCAATTTCCGAACAAAAATGTATTAACAAAAAAATCTCTACCAAAGGGGCGTAATTAACGAGCGTAATTAAGTCCACCCTTACGTCTGTTTGCCATTATTAATCGTACACATTTGAAAAACACATTTATTATGAGAATTACAACCAAAGGGGTGTAATTCTCCTCACTTACGCTTCTTTGCCGTTATTAATTCAATTAATTTTAGAAATGCTCGAGGAAATGAGAGAATATTCGTTATTCTCAGTGTAATCGTAAAATAAATTACAAGAATCAGAAAAATATTATCTTATCATCTTACAGATAAGATATTTAAGTTTAGGATGGAAATAATTCCAAGTCACGCATTGCGAAATAGATTGCTGACAAAAAACGTTACATTCTCTTTTTAAAAGAGGAAAAAAAACATATGCCCCTTTGGCTTTGAAGAAAAGAAAGACTCGCAATGATGGCACTTATGTCCCTTTACCTATACGGCGACGATGTTCACATTTTGTTTCGTTTATTTTATGTCTAATTTACAGATTCCACCCACAAGATAGGGCAAGTGATGAAGAAGAAATATCGCAGGGAGATGGAGTACGTGTATGCAGTTATGAATGAAATGGATAGAAAATTGGAACGACAAATTCGTGATTTGGATGACGTCAGACTGATAATGGAAACCCTGAAGAAAATCCGGGAGCAGGAAGTCGATATGGAGCTGAGGATCGATCCCATTGAAGAGGCATTCAACATTGTGACCCGTTACGAGGTGCCTGTTGATCAGGAGTGTCTGGAGATGGTGGAGACACTGCGAGAATCCTGGGGACAGATATTGGCTCGGGCGCATCAGAGCCACGTACTGCTGCTGCAACTCCAGCCGCAGTTTGAAGAAGAATTGCGGAACAATTTGGAGAAGTTTAGGATCGATAATGAAGCTTACTGCGAGGAGTATAGAACTAGCGGACCGATGCAGACGGGATTGACTCCCCGTGAAGCTTCAGATCGTCAGATTCTGTTTCAGAACAGGTTTGACGGGATGTGGAGGAAACTTCAAGCTTACCAGAGCGGGGAAGAGCTCTTTGGTTTACCCATTACTGATTACCCAGAACTTTCGCAGATTCGGAAGGAGTTGAATCTACTCCAGAAATTATACAAGTTGTATAATGATGTTATTGATAGAGTCAGCAGTTACTATGATATACCTTGGGGGGAGGTAATGATAATCACCCTAAGCTGTGTCAATAGTGTCCTATTTTTAATTATTCATTAGTTTTTGCTGATGAATGAAAGCTTTGTAATCGCGCAAATTGAAGGATATCCAAGTACTTTGGCGACGTTTTATTCAGTGAAATGCTTTTATACTTTTGTAGTTGAACGACGCTCAAACGAGATTCTAGAGCGTTGTTTGGCTGTAATTTACGTTTTTATTTTGATCGTACGCCTTTTTGAAACCTAAATTCCGATTTTCATAACAAAAAAAAAAGCCATCAAACATCATATTCACATTAAGCGTAAATTACGCATGGCAAAACCTAACTTACGTTTAGGTTTTTCCGTGTGAATACTATCCAATTTCGAATCATTAATTGGTTCTTAGGTAAACATCGAAGAGATCAACAATGAGCTCATGGAGTTCCAAAACCGCTGTCGAAAATTGCCGAAAGGTTTGAAAGAGTGGCCAGCCTTTTTCGCCCTGAAGAAGACCATAGACGACTTCAACGACATGTGTCCACTCCTCGAGCTGATGGCCAATAAAGCGATGAAGCCTCGTCACTGGCAGCGAATCGTCGAGGTGACGGGTCACACCTTCGACCTCGAGAGCGAAGGCTTTTGTCTGAAGAACATCCTAGAAGCGCCTTTACTGAAGTACAAAGAGGACATCGAGGACATCTGCATCTCTGCGATGAAGGAGAAAGATATAGAGGCGAAGCTGCGCCAAGTCGTCAACGAGTGGTCTTCACACGAGTTGACCTTCATGACGTTTAACAACCGAGGGGAATTGCTGTTGCGAGGTGATACAACAGCGGAGACAATCGGCCAGCTGGAGGACAGCCTCATGGTTCTAGGATCGTTAATGTCCAATCGCTACAACGCACCGTTCAAGAAGCAAATCCAGCAGTGGCTGTCCGATCTCTCTAATACGAACGAGATCCTGGAGCGTTGGCTGCTGGTGCAGAACATGTGGGTCTACCTCGAGGCTGTCTTCGTCGGCGGCGACATCGCCAAGCAGTTGCCCAAGGAGGCTAAGAGGTTCAGCAAAATCGACAAGAGTTGGCAGAAGATAATGCAACGGGCACACGAGACACCAGGCGTCGTCCCCTGCTGCGTCGGTGATGACCTCCTGAAGCAACTTCTTCCTCATCTTCAGGAGCAATTGGAACTCTGCCAGAAGTCCTTGAGCGGATACTTGGAGAAGAAACGAATGATGTTCCCACGATTCTTCTTCGTGTCAGATCCAGCCCTGTTGGAAATCCTTGGACAAGCCTCGGACTCCCACACTATCCAAAATCACCTGCTGTCGATATTCGATAACACGAGGTTCGTCAAGTTCCACGACATCGAGTACAACAAGATGACAGCTATAGTCTCATCCGAAGGTGAAATCATAGTTCTAGAGAGGGCTGTGAGAGCTGAAGGATCCGTGGAAACGTGGTTGATGCAACTCCTGCAAACATCGCAGCAATCTCTGCACTCGATAATTCGTCAAGCAAACCTCATGATGAACGATCAGAACTTCAATCTCCTCTCGTTTCTTGAGAAGATGGCTGCGCAGGTGGGTCTTCTTGGGATCCAAATGATATGGACGAGAGACGCGGAAGTCGCATTGATGCAGGCACGTGCCGACAAGAAGATCATGGGAGAAACCAACAATCGCTTCCTCGAATTACTGAACACCTTGATCGACCAAACAACCAGAGACTTGACCAAGATCGACAGAACGAAATTCGAGACACTCATCACGATTCATGTGCATCAACGAGATATTTTCGATACCATGTGTCGACTGAACGTGCGAACAGTGACCGATTTCGAGTGGTTGAAGCAGTGTCGCTTCTACTTCAAAGAAGACCTGGACAAAACTAACATCCACATCACAGACGTTCAATTCATTTATCAGAACGAGTACTTGGGCTGCACAGAACGCTTGGTGATCACACCTTTGACAGACAGATGTTATATCACACTAGCTCAGGCCCTCTCGATGTCAATGGGAGGTTCCCCCTGCGGCCCCGCTGGGACCGGAAAGACGGAGACCGTCAAGGACATGGGTAAAACCCTTGCCAAGTACGTCGTAGTCTTCAACTGCTCAGATCAGATGGATTATCGGGGATTGGGAAGAATATACAAAGGTCTGGCTCAAAGCGGAAGTTGGGGGTGCTTCGATGAGTTCAACAGAATCGAATTACCAGTCCTCTCAGTAGCCGCCCAACAAGTGGCCGTCGTCCTAGCAGCGAAGAAAGAGAAGAAGAAGCAGTTCATCTTCACGGATGGTGACCAAATAGAGATGTGCCCCGAGCTCGGAATCTTCATCACCATGAATCCTGGTTACGCCGGCAGAAAAGAACTCCCGGAAAATCTGAAAATACAGTTCCGAACAGTTGCCATGATGGTGCCAGATCGACAGATTATCATTCGAGTGAAACTCGCCAGTTGTGGGTTTTTGGAGAACATAACGCTAGCCAGGAAGTTTTACACTCTGTATAAACTGTGTGAGGAGCAGCTGACTAAGCAAGTTCATTACGATTTTGGGTTGAGGAATATATTGTCGGTTTTGAGAACTCTGGGGGCGGCAAAGAGGGTCAACAGCAAGGATACTGAGAGCACCATTGTGATGAGGGTCTTACGAGACATGAATTTATCGAAATTGATAGATGAAGACGAGCCCTTATTCATCTCCCTAGTCGCTGATCTCTTCCCTAATCAAGCGTTAGAGAAGACGTCTTATCCTGAACTGGAGACGGCAATCGATAGTCAGGTGCAGGAAGACGGTCTCGTGTACCATCCGCCCTGGGTCTTGAAGTTGATCCAACTGTACGAGACCCAACGCGTCCGGCATGGAATAATGACACTAGGGCCTGAAGGTGCTGGCAAAACCACTTGCATCCACACATTGATGAAGGCCCTCACGCAAATGGGAGCTTATCACCGGGAAATGCGAATGAATCCTAAGAGTATAACAGCAGCCCAGATGTTTGGACGACTAGATGTAGCCACGAATGACTGGACGGATGGAATATTTTCAGCTCTCTGGAGAAAAACCCTGAAGTTGAAGAAGGATGAGCATGTCTGGCTGGTTCTTGATGGCCCAGTAGACAGTATCTGGATCGAGAACTTGAATTCAGTTCTGGATGACAATAAAACCCTGACTCTGGCCAACGGTGATCGTCTGTCGATGGCTCCAACCTGCAAGATTATATTCGAACCTCACAATATCGATAATGCAAGCCCTGCCACAGTCTCCAGGAATGGCATGGTCTACATGAGCTCTTCTGGTTTGGATTGGAGACCAGTCGTCACCGCGTGGCTTAAAAACCGAACTCCGCTCGAGCAGAATGTCCTCGACAAAGCCTTCGACGAGTCGTTCCTTCAGATCTACACATGGTGTACGCAGACCCTGGTGCTAACTATAAAAGTACTGCAGACTAATATCGTCAGGCAGATGCTGTGCTTGCTGGAAGGAATGGTTTGTAATAAATCACCTTTTCATACCTCATGTATCTATTTTCCTGACACATGATTCAGTATTATCTCAACAATTATTTAAATGTTTTGTGTCAAATTATTCATTTAATAAATATAAAATTGATTCAATCGGTAAATATCACCACGTGATTATTTATATCATATTGCGAGCAAATCGATAATTTGTTCAGCCAAAAGTATATAAAAATCTTAATTCTCTTCAAAATGGATAAGTTATAACCTCATTTTCATCATTTAAAATCATTAAATGTTAATTAGCCGTACCGTCTTGCGTCAGGTATACTGAGATGGAAGTAATTGCGATACGATAGACTCGCTAGAATCGCTCTCGTTATAGTCGCGTCTCCCTTTATTACGATTTTTCGTTGCTCGAGCGCACCCCCCACTCCTTCCACTCGCAACTCCTGAATGTGAACATTTCAATGTATTCTTAGATACGCATTATTTTGCATTACCGCGAACTCGAAACCGTGAAATACTATGCCGCTAGATTTGTAAAAAATAATGTCAGTTCACACGTCACCGTCATATAGAGAAATTGATGTATACCTTTAGTTTCATTCGATATTCCAGTTTCCTAGATTGCTAGTCACATTCCCACAGGTCCCACCGGAAGTCCCTCCCGAAGAGGTCGACGATGACGATGACGAACGGGACAAGCCTCAGCCGATGACAGCAGAACGCCTAAAACGTCTCTACATATTCGCGTTAATCTGGGGAATCGGTGCATTACTTGAAACTTCAGATAGATTGAAGTTCGATGAATACCTGAATACTAACTTCGGAAATCTAGACCTCCCGAAGTCCGAGAAATACCCGGAAGCCAGACTTTTCGATTTCTACGTGAACGACAAGGGCAAATGGGACACCTGGACCACACTAGTCACCAATTACACATATCCCGATTACGCAACCCCAGATTACAGCAGCATCCTCGTGCCAATCGTTGATAACGTGAGGATTCAGTATCTGATTGATATGATCGGTAAGAAGGACAGAGCGGTGTTGTTGATCGGTGAGCAGGGTTCAGCGAAGACAGTCATGATGAAGTCCTACATGAAGGGGACTAATCCTGACACAACGCTGGGGCGATCCTTCAACTTCAGTTCGGCTACGACACCCTATCAATTCCAAAAGACCATTGAGAGCTACGTAGAGAAGAGGATGGGCAATACGTTTGGTCCACCTGGTGGGAAGAAGATGCTGATCTTCGTGGACGACATCAATCTGCCCGAGATCAATGAATGGGGCGATCAAATCACCAACGAGATCGTCCGTCAGACCATGGACATGAAGGGCTTCTACTCCTTGGAGAAGCCAGGGGATTTCACGACGATCGTTGACGTGACGTTTCTGGGAGCTATGGGTCAGCCAGGAGGTGGAAGAAACGACATCCCCTCTAGGTTGAAGAGACAATTCTGCATATTCAATTGCACTCTCCCCAACGACGCATCTATCGATAAAATTTTTAGCGTCCTCGGTGAGGGGCATTACAACGCCAAGAGGGGGTTCTCAACGGAAGTGAGGATGCTGATCAAGAAGATGGTGCCTTTGACGAGACTACTGTGGCAGAGGACGAGAGTAAAATTGCTGCCAACACCAGCTAAATTTCATTACGTTTTTAACCTACGTGACTTATCGAGAATTTGGCAGGGCATGATCGGCACACTATCAACGGTGATTGAGAAGGAGAGTCACCTTATGCTCCTGTGGAGGCACGAGTGCAGCCGAGTCTTCAGTGATCGCTTCACCATTCAGGCGGACAAGGACTGGTTCGACCAGGAGGTCAACGACATCGTCGTCGAATACCTCGGTGAACAGTACACAGAAATGATGGGGAAGAACCCAGCATTCGTGGATTTTATGAGAGACGCCCCAGAGCCAACCGGTGAAGAGGGTGAGGACGCCGACATGGAGCTGCCAAAGGTCTACGAGCCAGTGTTCGATGACCAGACACTTCGGGATAGACTCGAAATGTTCCTCGCTCAGTTTAACGAAATGCAGAGGGGCGCTGGCATGGACTTGGTGTTTTTCCCAGATGCAATGCTGCACCTGGTGAAGGTCTCACGAGTCATCAGACATCCTCGCGGGAATGTGATGCTTGTAGGTGTTGGTGGCTCTGGAAAACAGAGTCTCACCAAGCTATCGTCGTTTATCGCTGGATACAAAACATTCCAGATTACCCTCACACGATCCTACAATGTAACTAATTTCCTCGAGGATTTGAAGTTTCTCTATCGATCTTGCGGAGGACAAGGGAAGGGCACAACCTTCATATTCACGGATTTGGATATCAAGGAGGAGGGCTTCCTGGAGTACTTGAACAACATTCTGAGCTCTGGGGTCATCAGCAATCTGTTTACCAGAGACGAACAGACGGAGATTATTCAGGAATTAACACCGATCATGAAACGAGAGAATCCAAAAAGAACTCTGAATAACGAACTCGTCATGGAATACTTCCTCCAAAGGACCTGTCAAAATCTTCACGTTGTCTTCTGCTTCTCACCGGTTGGTGAAAAATTCCGTAATCGGGCGCAGAGGTTTCCGGCACTGATTTCCGGCTGCACTATCGATTGGTTTCAACCTTGGCCACGTGATGCTCTGGTACTCGTTGCAGACCACTTTCTTCATGACTTCGAAATCGCGTGCAGTCCAGAAGTGAAGAAACAACTTGTCACTGCTTTGGGTTCGATTCAAGACGTCGTTTCAGAAACATCTGCCGAGTACTTCCAGCGATTCAGGAGAGCCACTCACGTCACGCCAAAATCATATCTCAATTTCATAGGAGGATACAAGAATATCTATCGAGCTAAGCAACACGAGTTGGGAGAAGGTGCTCGAAGAATGGACACTGGCCTAGCAAAACTCGAGGAAGCCTCGATATCTGTAGAACTCCTGAAACGAGATCTTGCTGTGATGGAGCAGGAATTGGTTACAGCATCGAAAAAAGCCGAAACAGTACTTCTAGAAGTGACTGAGAGAGCCACACAAGCAGAGTCATTCAAGAACCAGGTGCAAAAGGTCAAGGAAAAGGCAGAAGCCCTGGTGGCCAACATCGCCGAGGAGAAGGCGCTCGCAGAGCAGAAATTGGAAGCTGCAAAGCCGGCTTTGGAGGAGGCAGAGGCTGCCCTGAACACAATAAAACCAGCGCACATTGCTACCGTTCGAAAGCTGGGGCGACCCCCGCACTTGATCATGAGGATCATGGACTGCGTCCTGATTCTCTTCCAGAGGAAGATCAGCCTGGTGATTCCAGACCCAACTGCCATGTGTCCAAAGCCCTCTTGGGCGGAGTCTCTGAAGATGATGGCGAGCACGACATTCCTCCTCCAGCTCCAGAATTACCCAAAAGACATCATTAACAACGAAATGGTGGAGCTCTTGCAGCCGTACTTCAAAATGGAGGACTACAACATGGAAACGGCTCGACGAGTGTGCGGCGACGTAGCTGGATTGCTCTCGTGGACGAAGGCCATGGCCTTTTTCCACTCTGTTAATAAGGAGGTCCTCCCACTGAAAGCTAATCTCACCCTGCAGGAGGCTAGGCTGAAGGTGAGTCAACATAGTTAGCCATGTCAATTCATTTATTCCACATCTAGTATTCAAAACCATCTTTAAAATGATTCGGTAATGATTGGTACAACATTAGACTTCGAATATCTTCAAAGGTACTATGTACTACTTTGATGCAAAAACGTATAAGTCGTGGCTTCTTGAGTGCAGTATTTCTCCGGTCCTATCTTATTATATCCATCAGGTTTTTTAAATTAAATTTGATGGAGATAAAGTATTTCTTCAATTTCGTCGCACCTTCTTATAACAATAAATAAAATTAATTACATATGGCAATACCTTCATTTTTGAAGAATTAAAATTATTTTCTTTCAATGAGGTAACCAAGTTCTTAAAGGAACCAACGGTTACTGGCGAAGAATTCAATTCTCACCAACTCTTGACATGACCCAGGACTCACGACGAGGACGTAGTTGGTGTTCGAATTTGATCGATGGCCTATGATATTAGTGTACCATTGTTTACCAAACGATTTACAACCACCCTCTGCTTTCAGAATTTATTAATGTTTATATGCCCCTGTTAACTACCATTTACCGCTAAAGGTAGCGATGGAGGATCTTGCAGACGCGGAGAGGGAACTCTCCGAGAGAGAAATGGCGCTGCAGGGGGTGAAGGCCCAGTACGACGCAGCTGTCTCCGAGAAACAGCGTCTCACCGATGCTGCTAATGTCTGTCTGAGGAAGATGACAGCTGCTACAGCGTTGATCAACGGTCTCGGTGGCGAGAAGATTCGATGGACCGAGCAAAGTGGAGAATTCAAAATTCAGCTGGGGAAACTCGTTGGGGATGTCCTCCTGGCCACTGGGTTTCTGTCATACTGCGGACCCTACAATCAGCAATATCGATCACGTCTGGTCAACTGTTGGATGAACATCTTGACAACGCGGGCTATTCCATTCACCAAGGACTTGAATATCATCAGCATGCTGGTGGACACCTCCACGATATCCGAGTGGACGCTTCAGGGACTGCCTAATGATGAACTGTCCGTTCAGAATGCCCTGATTGTCACCAAGTCGTCGTCGTATCCCTTGCTGGTGGATCCTCAAACCCAGGGAAAGATGTGGATCAAGAACAAAGAGACGTCTAATGATCTGCAGATCACGTCCCTGAATCACAAGTACTTCAGGACTCACTTGGAGGATAGTCTCTCCTTGGGAAGACCACTTCTCATCGAAGACGTTAATGAGGAGCTTGATCCGGTCATCGATAACGTTCTCGAGAAGAACTTCATAAAGTCAGGATCCATCGAAAAAGTCATCGTCGGGGACAAGGAGTGCGATGTGATGCCCGGGTTCATGCTCTACATAACAACTAAGCTTCCAAATCCAGCTTACAGTCCTGAGACATCAGCCAAGACCTCGATAATCGATTTTACAGTGACGATGCAGGGCCTTGAGGATCAACTCCTGGGGCGAGTGATCTTGATGGAGAAGTCCGAGCTCGAAGCCGAACGTGTGGCATTATTTGAGTCCGTCATGACGAATCAGAGATCCATGAAGGATTTGGAGAGCACTTTGCTACACAGATTGACCTCGTCGGAGGGATCTCTTGTTGATGATGAGGCACTCATCGGTGTTCTGAGAGAGACTAAATCAACAGCTGAATCCGTCAACGAAAAACTTCAGGTTGCTGCCCTCACGGAGAAAAAAATCACAATTGCTAGGGAGGAGTTCCGAGCTGTTGCTGCTCGCGGCTCGATTCTGTACTTCCTCATCGTTGAAATGAGCAACGTCAACGTCATGTACCAGAACTCGTTGAAACAGTTCCTCACGATATTCGATAACTCGATCACTAAATCAACTAAGAGCAACATCGCGTCCGAGAGAATTGAGATAATTTTGGGTCATTTGACGTATGAAGTGTGGGGATTCACTTTGAGAAGTCTCTACGAACGTCACAAGTCCCTGTTCACTCTCATGCTGGCCATGAAAATAGACTGCTATCGAGGGGCGATTTCCCATGCTGAGTTCATGGCCTTTATCAAGGGTGGAGCATCTCTAGATCTCAATGCGGTGGCTCCCAAACCCTTTCGCTGGATCCTGGATATCACCTGGTTGAATCTCGTCGAAATTAACAAACTGGAGGTTTGTAATAAACACATTACAAAAGTTCCTATTCAAAAAATTAAAAAAATAAAATATAGAGAAAAGCAAAATCATTTAAAAAAATAAATTCATAAACAACCATTTTTATGAACAAATTTGAACCAAATTTAGAAAAGAGACCGAGAAGAAATACCACCATAAAAATTGGAATAATTAGGTCTTCAGTCAAACAAATATTTTTTAATATTTTATCTAAAATACGAATCGCCCAAATAGTCACAATCACCTAAAAAATGATAAACAAATAGGGGAGGGTAGGGCAAACCGGACCACTGACAGAAAATTGGTAATTCTTGTTTTTTTTTTCTTTCCTTCAAATCAGGAACACTGAATGTGGTGAATTAAAAGTGAGTTTCTTGAAACGTAACTGTCACCGGGGTTTTATAGACAAGAAGTGCGGTTCAACCGCAATTTAATCAGACTTGCTAATCACCTCAAACCACAGATGACTTTGAATTTTTATTTTTGCTTCCGAATGGAAACAAAAACAAAAATTATTAATTTTCTGTCAGTGGTCCGTTTTTCCCTACTCTCCCCTATATAAGTTTTGAGCAAATATTTCTTCGTCGTTTATTCTCTCCTGATTATTTATCACACAACTTATTTCAGAGATAATTTTTAAAAAGGATGTGAAATGACAAATGCATATTCCTCAGAATAAACAACAAAATTCCAAATACGAATGTGAAAAACAATTTTTTTTAACGTAGCGCACCACGTGTTTTATGTCTATTTTTGGAGGGATAGATAGACAAAACGGACTAAAATTCCACCCACTTTTTATGAAAACCAAAATTCCGATGAAAGTCTTAATTTTACTTCGTAGGCCCCTATTAACAAACTAATTTACTCCGAATTTCTAAATTGTTATTTTGAAAAAAAACAATACCTTCTAATCAAGCATTCGTGTTTCACATCAAGAATCGTACTCAAATGCGCGGAACGAAATGTTCACTAAAAATTACTGAACTCACAGTTCGCTCATCGATTACGGTATCGACTCAGAAAATTTAAGTGACGGTATCGTAATTTTTCACAGGATATTCAGGTAGAAATTACGGAATGCCCTGGAAAAATTCCGTGATTATAGGTAAAAATTACGTGACAGTTCCGTAAAATTTCTTACAACCACATTTCACTCCGGAATTACAGAAAAGATACATAATTTTTATTGAATATTTCTCTCCGTGTGATCATCCAAATGAAAATCGTCTAGTATCTGGTACGAAGAATATCAAATCAAAATACTTTCCTCTCTGAGCGCAAGTAAAGTGGGGATACGTAATTCTCTGAATTCTACTCCTCCACATTCCCTGTGGTATCTTCGACGAAGATTGGACTGTATTCATCGATATTCCCACAGGTTTTCTCTGAGATACTGACGAAAATTGAGTTTTCGGAGAGGGAATGGCGACTGTGGTACGAGAAGGAAAGACCGGAAGAGGAGGAACTGCCCTGTGGCTATCAGAAGAGTTTGGACGTCTTCAGGAAGCTCTTGCTGATCAGATCCTGGAGTCCGGACAGAACTCTGTCCCAAGCGAAGCGATATATCGTGGAATCACTTGGCAAGGAATACGGCGAAGCCAAGATTCTGGATCTCGATGCGACGTGGGCTGAATCTGAACCGGAGACTCCGTTAATCTGTATTTTATCGATCGGATCGGACCCGAGTCCGTCGATCACAGCTCTGGCTAAACAGAAGACTCTGCCGTTGCGAGCAGTGTCCATGGGACAGGGCCAGGAGGTCATTGCGAGAAAATTGATTACTGACGCTATGAGCACTGGGGGTTGGGTGCTCCTGCAGAATACTCATCTGTCCCTGCCGTTCTGCACTGAAGCCATGGAGACTCTGGTGGAGGCTGACAATATTCATGAGACCTTTCGGCTGTGGCTCACCACTGAGGTCCACGCGCAGTTTCCCATCGGGTTGCTGCAGATGGCTATCAAATTCACTAATGAACCTCCGCAGGGGATTCGAGCCAGTCTGAAGAGGACTTATCAGGGGGTGACTCAGGATATACTTGATTACAGCACCCAGTCGCAGTGGCCACCTCTGCTCTATGCTGTCGCTTTTCTTCACANGTAGAAATTACGGAATGCCCTGGAAAAATTCCGTGATTATAGGTAAAAATTACGTGACAGTTCCGTAAAATTTCTTACAACCACATTTCACTCCGGAATTACAGAAAAGATACATAATTTTTATTGAATATTTCTCTCCGTGTGATCATCCAAATGAAAATCGTCTAGTATCTGGTACGAAGAATATCAAATCAAAATACTTTCCTCTCTGAGCGCAAGTAAAGTGGGGATACGTAATTCTCTGAATTCTACTCCTCCACATTCCCTGTGGTATCTTCGACGAAGATTGGACTGTATTCATCGATATTCCCACAGGTTTTCTCTGAGATACTGACGAAAATTGAGTTTTCGGAGAGGGAATGGCGACTGTGGTACGAGAAGGAAAGACCGGAAGAGGAGGAACTGCCCTGTGGCTATCAGAAGAGTTTGGACGTCTTCAGGAAGCTCTTGCTGATCAGATCCTGGAGTCCGGACAGAACTCTGTCCCAAGCGAAGCGATATATCGTGGAATCACTTGGCAAGGAATACGGCGAAGCCAAGATTCTGGATCTCGATGCGACGTGGGCTGAATCTGAACCGGAGACTCCGTTAATCTGTATTTTATCGATCGGATCGGACCCGAGTCCGTCGATCACAGCTCTGGCTAAACAGAAGACTCTGCCGTTGCGAGCAGTGTCCATGGGACAGGGCCAGGAGGTCATTGCGAGAAAATTGATTACTGACGCTATGAGCACTGGGGGTTGGGTGCTCCTGCAGAATACTCATCTGTCCCTGCCGTTCTGCACTGAAGCCATGGAGACTCTGGTGGAGGCTGACAATATTCATGAGACCTTTCGGCTGTGGCTCACCACTGAGGTCCACGCGCAGTTTCCCATCGGGTTGCTGCAGATGGCTATCAAATTCACTAATGAACCTCCGCAGGGGATTCGAGCCAGTCTGAAGAGGACTTATCAGGGGGTGACTCAGGATATACTTGATTACAGCACCCAGTCGCAGTGGCCACCTCTGCTCTATGCTGTCGCTTTTCTTCACACTGTCGTTCAGGAGAGGAGGAAATTTGGACCTCTTGGGTGGAATATTCCGTATGAGTTCAATCAGGCGGATTTCGCTGCCTCTGTTCAGTTCATTCAGAATCATCTGGATGACATGGACCCCAAGAAGGGAGTCTCTTGGCCTACTGTTTGTTATATGCTGGGGGAGGTAGGCTTTCAGGGCGTAATGCCATTAGTTGAAGTTTAGATTTGTGCATGAGATCACTGTTGAAAATTTTGGCTCCATTTCACGGTACATTTTATGAAATTTTCATCGAGTCACAGCTCCACTCAAAGTTTGAATAATCTCGTCATTGGAAATTGAAAAGTTGATGATGGAATCAATGTGAAGGGTGGGGTTTTCTTAAATTATTCTATGAAAATTGATAGAAATTAATTTCAATAGTTGCATTCATGTATCTATTGACAATTCAAGTAAGTTGGACAATTCCCATCTTTCTGTTACTCTATAATTTTACATTGAATACCTTTCTTCTCCCTTCAATCGAATTCAATGTCGTTCTCCTGAAACTGACGAGTAAGCTGTCCATGAAATTTCTTTTTTTTTTCGAACAATGAAAATAGCTATTTTTGTCACAAAGCTGAAAAAAAAATTTCAGGCGAGTGTGAGGGTTGCAGATCGAGGCGAAGCCGAGGAATCCAATCACACGAGTCAGAAAAGTCGTTTTCGGCCGAGTGACGGACACAATTTTTCGAGACAATGTCCATAAACAGCCTACGCCGTACACGAAGTGGCCGTAAAACGACTTTTTACGGACACTCTGATGAAAATAGCTATTTCTGTACTGTTTCACACGATTCCTCGCCTGGGAATTGGTTTTGCATACTTCCCAAACCAGGAAACTTGAAAATCACTACAAAAAATCTTGTCCCCCGCTGTTGCGATATGTTCTTTTTACTCGTGTGGGATTGGCGCCCGAGCCGAAGGCGAGGACTTTTTAACCAACACCAGTAAAAAAAGCCCGGAAAAATACGGCTTGATCCGTGAGATGTATGTGGCGTTCGCCGAAGGCGAATGCTGCCCTCCCAAGGGTCAAAGAATACTTTTACGCACTCGTATCGCACCCTATTTTTCATCACAATTTGTGGAAAATGGGATTTTGAAAATTTCACTTTACGCACAAGTGATGAAAAAATCGTAGGAATTCCACAAATTTTAATTTCCGTACTGTCACTGAGACGTAATAAATTCGTACTGTATTCCCTGGAACACCTCCACCCATCTCCAGGTTCAATATGGGGGTCGAGTCACCGACGATTTCGACAAACGTCTGTTAACAACATTCACCCACGTCTGGTTCTGCGACGTTCTCCTAAGGCCTGGTTTCGAGTTCTACAAGGGGTACAAAGTCCCTCAGACTCGAATAATCCAGGGCTACATGGAGTATATCAACAATCTACCTGCTACTGACACACCGGAAGTCTTCGGCCTGCACTCGAACGCCGATATAACGTACCAAATAAACACGGCGAAGGGTATTCTGGACACGATTTTGAATGTCCAGCCGAAGGAGGGTGGCTCGCAGGGGGGAGAAACTAGAGAGAGTGTTGTGTACAGATTGGCAGACGACATGCTAAGCAAATTACCGAAACAGTATAATCCCTTCGATGTCAGGGATGCGTTGCAACGAATGGGGGCTTTATTACCGATGAATATATTTTTACGGCAGGAAGTGGACAGGTGAGTCTGTTCGATGCAATTCTCAATCAAATTTTCATGAATTTAGCAATGAATTAACCCCTCACGTACGCCGCCCGTATAGCGCGACTTTTCCCAACGGCCGGGAGACTTACGGCGCGTCAACTCCGTTATTCAATGAACGATAACTTAAAAACAGTCGAACGAAAAAAATTCAAATGAAATGCATTGGCTGTATTGAACTTTGAAATAAACTCCCAGGGAATTTCCTCATTTTTGACACCAATTTCAATGTTTGCCGACAATTGGTTGCCGAGATCTTCGAACATGCTAAATTTATTTATAACAAACAAATTATTCAACAAATCTAAATTTAACTTCTGCCATTCGATAGGAGGATCATTGAAGTATTTTCAGTTAAATTTTTTAAATTTTTGGGGGAAATTTTGTCGATAAACGAGATGATTTAATATGATTGAATCGGTTGGATGTAAAATTTTCATCTACAACTTTTGTTCATAGAAAAAAATATTATAAATGCATTGAAAAAAAATAAAATGAAATAGTTTACTGCAGAGACAATTCCATTGACTTCTCAAATATCTTTTCCAAATGTCAATATGTCTCTTAGAATTCGAGAAAATGATTTTTTACTGTTGACGGAAAGGGTCAACATTAACTAGGGTCAACCCATAAACTTGTCCTATCAGCCGGGGTCAATGCATGGTATCGACGCCGTACGTGAGGGGTTAATAAAACGTAATCATCGAATAGTTAATTTTCCACATGTTGTTAAGTATCAAATTATCATTATTTAATTATTCAATAACAATTAAATTCTGATCATAAATTGATCAATTAATTAGGTATTTAATTGTTAATAACTATTACTAAATTATTGGAGAGGTGAAAGACTGAGGAGCTCGGGAGGAAATGCGGAGTCCTCATGACTACAAAAACGAAATTGTGTGTGATATTTACTAAGATGTGATGAACAGTCATTAGACAATAGTCGTCAACTCCCCTTTGCAATATATCTATACAAAATCTTCATTTTGTAAGTTCCTAGAGGTAGCAAAAGCTATAATATATTGAGATATACTATGAGAAGGGAATGTAAAAGGCCTTAAAGTCATACTATCTTGCAAAAAAATTATTATTTCTAAATTATTGGAGGCAACCAATCAGTTTCAGGCACTCGAAAAAACTTTCAAAAATCGAGGAAATTCGATAGAAAATTTTATTGGATTTTACTGACTGTTTTTTGTAGAAAAAGTCCGATAGAAACTATTTTGCAGGAGAAATTAGTAGAATTTTATCGTTCTATGCAACATTTGCTCTTCTGCCTTTTTCTACAGGAATTCTTAGATATGCGTCTGCTAAGTTTTTTCCACTTTATTTTTCTTGTCTTTTCATTACAAAAAAATCAAACCGAAGGAAAACCCGAATCGAGGAATTTCTATCGAAAAATCAATAGAATTCGAACTTTTTCCCTTGAATATATGAGATATTCACTCTTTTGTTGCCAGAATGAGACGAGTGATAGCCGAAGTTCACTCAACCCTGACAGATCTAAAATTAGCAATCGACGGTACCATCGTGATGTCCCAGGGCTTGAAAAAATCTCTAGATTCCATGTATGATGCGCGAATACCCGAGAAGTGGCAGAAAATATCCTGGGAATCAGCAACTCTTGGCTTTTGGTACACCGAGCTTCTGGAGAGGGATGCGCAGTTCAGGCACTGGTGCAATCATGGCAGGCCGAATGTCTTTTGGATGACTGGATTCTTCAATTGCCAGGGGTTCCTAACAGCCATGAGGCAGGAAGTCACGAGGGCGCACAAGGGATGGGCACTGGACTCTGTGGTACTTCAGAATCTTATCACTCGGTATAATAAGGAAGATATAAGGGAACAGGTGCAGGAAGGCGTTTACGTCCATGGCCTCTTCCTCGAGGGGGCGTCCCTCGATCGCAAATCGGGGAAATTGGTTGAGAGCAAGGCGAAGGTCCTGTATGAACAAATGCCGGTCATCTATATTTACGCTATCAACACGACTGCTGGAAAAGACCCGAAACTGTACGAGTGCCCCATTTATAGGAAGCCTCAGAGGACAGATCTCAAATATGTGGGCTCGATAGACTTCGAGACAGACCACAACCCTCGGCATTGGACGCTTCGAGGTGTTGCTCTTTTATGTGACATCAAGTAAAAAGATGAAGTTTCATTTAGAAAATCACGTATGAAAAAATTCAATAGAAAACATAGTGAATTTGCTAGAAAACTCTATTAGAATTCGATAGGAATTCTATGGGGTTTCTGTAGAATTTCTGTTGGAATTTTATTGAAAAATTCAATTCGTTTTTTGCGCTGATTCTATCAGATATTCAATAAGAAAAAGTCAATAGATTTGGATTTTTTTTTTATTTATTATTAGATTTCGAATTTCTGTTCGAATTTTTGACTTGAAATTTTTTTCCATTAGAAATTATTGGGCACAAATTTTCTAAGTTTTTTCGGCTGGGTTTTGTTTTGCATTACGGAATCCGAGTGAAAAAAAAAAGTTCGGAAATTGGTGCCCAAGCATTCTTATAGAAAAAATCTCAAGAGAAAATTTCAAAGAGAAGTTCGAAATCTCTTGATATTTTCTTATCGAATATCTAATAGAACCAGCGCAAAAAACAAATAGAATTTTACAGTAGAATTCCAATAGAAATCCTATAGAAAGCCCGTACAATTCCTATAGAATGCCAATAAAATTTTCTAGCGAATTCGCTAGGTTTTCTATTGAATATTTTCATGCGTGATATCAGAAGGTTCTATCGAGGAGAGGAAGAATACGCAAAGTATGTGTATATATTTCAATCGCTCTGTGAAGAAAAACAAGGGACGATTTCTCTTGTATTGCATATAGTATAGTTATTTTTGCTAATAAATTAGCAATATACTTCCGAATGGTTATTTTCCACATCATTTCCTTCCATCATGGATAATTCATTGTTTATTTCATTTTATTAAATTGAATAAGATTTCTTTTCAACTAATTTTGTCAGATTTCCAACTCGGTTGAATGTTATCATGATTATTCTTATTATCTCTTTCTTCTGTACAACCGATTGTCTTTTTTAGGGTTTTATCTCTCCCCTTGGATAACATGTCAAGAGAAAAATATTATTTATACATACCTGCATGAATTTTAAATATCACATTTAAAGAAAGCATCAGAAAGCTCACTTTCAGGAAAATTCATGAAAAATTCGAAATTTTCAACAATCATAAAAATTAAATTAACCAATATATCTATCGTAATCATCTTTTAACTTCGACTTAATGGCATTAAAACAAACATTTTAAGCTATCATTGAATTCATTTGAAGGATGATATCTAAAGATATCCCCAGAATTCTGATTTTAAAAAAATACAATTTTTTTGCAAATTTTCAAATTAATCAAAATAACGATTATTGCTATCGCCTTCATCTTCGCACTTGGTCAAAAGGACATCCGAACACATTCTTTAAGCCATCATTCAATCAATTCAGAAAACTTTTTTTTAGTTATCAGGAGATAACCAATTTTCGAAAAAAATCGAAAATTAGAAAAACTAATCGATGAATTAAATTTGAATTAATGGCGATTCATAGGACTCAATAATACCTACATTTGAAAAAAAAAATTCTATTCCATCCATTCACTAGGGAACAATTGAAAAATATTGTTACATACGTACACACATACACACGGACGGACGAGGTCTAAAAGTTGCATTTTTAGACTTTTTGGGTCACACTGCGTCGATATAACACAAAAAATTCAAAACATAAATTTGAACGATTGCAAAGCTTCCATTCGGAAACAAAAAAGGAAAAAAAAACAATTCCACATGACAATGACATCGAATAGAAATCTAAATCTTCATTTACAAAATTATAATCATTTTATTAGTTATCAAAAGAACAAATAATGTCATGAGACTAATCATGGCATGATTATAGTACATGGTATTGACTCGGGGATTAATGGAAGTGGTAGATAATCTCGGAGAAAAATTTTAAACTGTAAATTAAAAACCTGAAGGAAAAAGATGAAGTTTCTTTAAAAAAATATTTCAATATTCTATCGAGGAGCCAAAGAATACGTAAAGTATGTGTATATATTTCAATGAAATATTTGTGAAAAAAATGAAGAAAAAACAATGCCGTGTAACAATTACATAGAATATAAATCCAAATCTTCATTTAAAAAATTACAATCATTTTATTAGCTATCAAAATAACAGACAATGCCATGAAACTGATCATTTCATGATATACTACATGGTATTGACTTGTGGATGAATCTTTGATGGAATCAAACCAGATAGTTTTCTAATGGTGATAGATAATCTCGAACAAAAAATTTAAATTGCAACTCTGCATTACAAATCGTGAAAATATATGATCGAACAATGGAAAGAGCACATGCAGCATGTATATATTATTTTCTTCGTTGAAAAAAAAAAAAATTTTATCACAATGTTAACTCGCATAAACTCAAACATTACGAAAGTAAAATTATCAGATGGTCGATTACCCTGAGATAAACCTCCACCTGGAGTTTCCACACCTCTTCGTCCCCCCAGCTCATCTCAATAATTTCAGGTGTCGTATCCAACGACAACACTTGAAAACGTTCATTAACGACCCCCTGATACACCGTAATGTTCAAGGGATTCAATGACTCCTGGAACTTCACTTTCAATTCCTCAAACGTCGAAGACTCCTCCATTTCCCTACACTCATTCAACAAGTCCTCAAACTCTTTTAATTTCTCAGACGTATTTTTTCTCACATTTTCAGAATAACTCAATCGTAATCTGTTGTGAAAGTCTGATAATTTAGCACCGAGATTCATCTTCTTGGTGTGTGGAACTTTTTGATCGAGGAAATTTTTTTTAGCTCGCTCATTGGCAGCTTCGAAGCCCCCATCTTCCAGCCCTCCTGTTCTCTTGAGAAGGGGTATGACACTCGACTTACTAGCATCCTCCACGACTTCTGTGATACGCTGGAGCATCTTCTTTGCAGCTAGATGTTTTGCTTGTTTTTTCGTTGTCGATATGCCTTCCTCTCTGAAACTGGCTACTGCACATTGCATCGTGAATATTCGGGCATGCGGTGGACCAACGTCACTTATCGTGTTGTATACTGGGTCTTGGAGTTCATTCTCGGCACATAAGTCCTGGAATTGAGGATATAGTGAATTTTGGAGAGGAGAGAAAGTTGATTATGAGCATTTTAGAAATTGCAGGAATAAAGAGATAAATGCATCCAAAAAATTTCATAGAAAAAACTTGTGAATTCAAAAGGAAATTCTATTAGTTTTGGCTTGATTCTCTTAAAGAATCCCGCAGTTTTACTGCATGTTTTTTTTATAGAAAATCTCTAACAGAAAATTTTTCATTAAAAAAATCAGGTAAATTGCATGTTATACTTTTTCTACTGATACATTTTCTACAGAAATTCTTGACATGAATTTTTCAAATTTTTTCCACTCCATTTTGCTGCTTTTCTCACTAAAAAAACATCAAACAATAAAACTTGGAAAATTCAAACGAGAAATTTCTATAGAAAATATCTACATAAAATAAGTTGTTCAGAAAAATCAAAATGTATTGATTTTTTCAACAGAATATTTTCCATTGAACATTTCCATTGAAAAAAAAATACACAAATGAATCAAGAGAAAGTTCAATAGAAATCCAATAGAATTATCTAGCAAATTTGCTAGGTTTTTCTATTAAATTTTTTCTTAAATTAAATTAAATTATTTAAATTTGAAGTGAATGAATGCATTATGTCCAAATGATAAAAAAAAATAGAATCTATTCTCTTTTTCTGTTCGTTATCCCCCAGAACACCACTTCCGCGAATAGTGAAACGATTCTGCGGAAAAAATAGAATCTCAATAGAATTCCAACAGAATTCTAATAGAAATTCAATATAAAATCTTGGAGAAAGCGTTATTATTAAATTTTGTCCTACGTGTCATGAAAAATGAGAAATAATCGTCACAATTTCACCCCTGGAGTAGCCCATATAAAAATAAAAAAATGATTCAGTACCTGCAATGCACCAATGGCATTGACAAAGCGACCATTGGGATCCTGAACGTATGGCTCAGGCTTGGGCAGCGGTGGAGGTGCCCTCACAGGGGACTTCGCTGGAGATGCTGGCAGGGGCAACAACCCCTGGTGCTTAACAATGGCATCCAACATGTTGGCAGCAGCTGCATGCTTGGCATCCTTCTTGCATCTTCCAGTTCCTGTGGCGAATAATCCATCGCACATTACCCTGTACGTGAATGTGTTCTCGTGAGATCCACCGCCGTCATGAATAAGCTCGTAATTAGGGACTATCCCTTTCTTAACCATCATCTCCTGGAGAATTGACGCTGGGGTTTTCTGCATCCTCGCTATCTGCATTAACAATTCTGCTCAAATTACGAGTTCATCAGCTTTTCAGAGATTGAAATAATGGGGAAAGTGTGACAGTTGAGTGATATAACCTATTTCTACTCTAGATTACTCAATCTCTTGAGAATTATCGCGTTTTTGTGTTCGTTATCCCCCAGAATATCACTTCTGCGAATACTGAAACGATTCTACGGATTCTTCATATCTCTAGATGCAATTGTTGCGTTGGAAAAGCTTTAGTACGAGCGAGTGATGGGCGCGAGGTGGTGATGAAAGTTTACCTTGGCCGGTGGGTCATAACAATCCATGTTATTCCATACAGACATCGCGTGATGATCCTCGAATATACAAAACGCCTCAAACGATGATGGAGGAAATTCCTATAGTCAGCATTCGTGTTGGATGAAGCATGGGAAACATGTTCTTTTTTATTTAATTAAAAAAATAAAAAATGATTCATTTGTCTCATCAGGTTTGAATTGTAGTGGGGGATTCAAATCCTTTTACCGACGAATGGTAATCTGGAATTCAAATATTCATAATAAATAGCAAAATGAATTGGGCGAATGTAAATAATTTCGTGCTAAAATTGAGATTCTGGATAAATGGCTTTACATTAGTTATGAGTTTTTCAGGATTTGAAAGACTGAAATAATGAGGAAGAAGTCATACAACCTGTTGTTAGAATAAATTAGTTAATCTTCTACGAATTATACCTCAAAATATCACTTCTGCTAATAGCGCAACGATTCTATTGATTCTTGATATCTCTAAAGTCGTACTGGAGATATTCTTCTGCTTCGACTGTCCTGGGGAGCGATTTTGATCGTTTTATCTTTCTATATTATAAAATTCCAAATCGACTTCTGTTAAGACATGAAATGGTGATAATTTAAGGCCTATATATATGAGGGGTGCCCATATATGGGGTGTGCCCATATACGGGGGGTGTTTATATATGGGGGGTGCCTATATATATGGGGGGTGCCCATATATGGGGGGGTACCTATATATAGGGGGGATGCCTATATATGGTGGTGCCTATATATCGGGGTGCCCACTTATGGGGGGTGCCCATTAATGAGGGGGAATTATATGTATGTGGCCTTTTATGGTAAAGTATGTATAGAGCTATCGGAAAAACCCTCCCTCACACCCACTCGCTCCACCGGGAGGGGGGGAGCGAGCGAAGCGAGCGGGGGGGGGCGAAGCCCCCCCC